GACACACACACACACACACACACACACACACACACACACACACACACTCGCTCATACACTCATATAAATAAGCACGCATTTTCCATGCATCTATACACACTTCCCTAGAGGCTTGCTAACAAGACTACAAGGTGAAGCATCTGTTCCCTGAGGCACTCCTTTCACCAGAGATCCTCCCATCTCATTCAGTAATTCGCCCTGCAGGATGAAAATTCCTTTTGTAATTTCCTCTCACCCCAAATTGGTCAAACTGTGGGTTGTAGGTGGGCTCAGCAGGATAATCTCCCACTGCATTAACAGCCTCTCCAACTTGCAGGTTGCTGCATCATCATTCACTCTGCTGTCCTCAATCTTTTTGCCAACAGCCACGCAGCCAGGCCAATTTTCATCCATCCATCAAAGGCACAAGGACAACAATCTGATGTCAGTCTGGTTTCTTTCATTGTAACTCAAACGTGTCTCTGTGCCTCTTTTTCTGACAGTTGGTTGAACGCATGACATTTTGGTATTTTTTTGTTTGCATGAAAAACCCAATGCCTAAAAATAAGGCTCCCACCTTGTACGAGCACTCGCCCATCCCTGTGTATATCAGTATAGCTGGCTGGGCTAGTAGAGAGCTAGTACTGGGATCTGATTAGTTCACGAACCAAGTCGCTGGCCATAATGCCGATGGTTGCCCCCCTTGGGCCAACATGTCAGTGGCTGCCTGCTTTCTGATAGCAATTGGAAAGGTAATCCTGCGCTCTGGGTGTGTTTTCTTTTATTGATGTGGGGGACACAGGAGCTGTCAGCGCCACTGTTCCGCTGCTGGTGAAATAGTAATGAGCGTGTATAATGGGCCAGCGCCAGTGTGGTTTACAGCTTGTTTGCTCTTGTAGCCAGGCCCCTGTGTTGTAACTGCGTGTCTGGCTGTGTTGTGTTTTATCGGAGTATCTTGCCGTGTTGGCGAGGGAGACACAACAATTTAGCTTGGATGGCTACAGTTAGCTCATAGCTGAATCAGTGGGTGCCGAACCACAAACATGTGGGGGGCCAATTTATTGTGAGTTGAAAACTAGTCTCTGAATTCACTTCACTGGATCTTTAATTGAATATGTCTTTCTGGAGATGACATTCCACATTAAACGATTGATAACTAACCTAGTGTATGTACTCTGTAAACTAGGATGATGCTCTATAACTGCTGGGAATTGGAGTGAAGAGGAACGTATGAAAGTATTTATGAAAAGTCAGAAGTATTTCTCTGTGTGTAATATCATGGCTTTGTTTGTGTTGCGCATGAGCGCACAGGCTGGCGATCAGCCGACCTGGACCTTTTGGGAATTTGGGCTTGACAGTATCGCTTGCAGTTCACTGCTCAGCAAACAACTCAGCTGTTTGAATTCCATGCGCCGTTCTTTTTTTTATATCCAATATTTTGTGCAGCCACTTGCCTCGCTTTGTCAATGTTTAACTGGAGACCACTGCTTTCGGGAACTCTCGAGCTGACTTGCTGTGTCTCTGTACAGTTTAGTTCAGTTCATTTTTATTTATGGTACATTGTGGCCTGGGAACCATCGCTCCAACATCCATCAATTTCTTCCAAGTGCTGTCAGTAAAATTGGCGAGATTGGGATTGTCGTCGCATTGTGACATTGACGATAGCATCTTCTATTTCTTCATCTACCAGTATGGGTGTGTGTGTGTGTGTGTGTTTACTGCGTTGGTCTTCTCCACTACAGCACATGGCCCACACTATTATAAAAGTAGTCATTATGTGTGCAGTCTCTCACATTGAAAAATTGAATCATTAAAGATGTTAAAACTGGTATGCGTGAATAGCGCTGAAGTCAGATTTTTGGTCGGAATAGAATAGGGATGAAATTCTTTAATGCGTGTGTGTGTGTGTGTGTGTGTGTGTTTACTGCGTTGGTCTTCTCCACTACAGCACATGGCCCACACTATTATAAAAGTAGTCATTATGTGTGCAGTCTCTCACATTGAAAAATTGAATCATTAAAGATGTTAAAACTGGTATGCGTGAATAGCGCTGAAGTCAGATTTTTGGTCGGAATAGAATAGGGATGAAATTCTTTAATGTGTGTCCCATTCGGACAACGCCCTCGGCCATCTGTTCAGAAATTCATTCTGGCCGCCATTTCACACTATTTAGAGGCTGTCTTTATCCTCAACCCAGGACATCAGAGCTCTGCCTGCAGAGTCCCCTGCTGGGGTGGACTTTGAGGCAGGAGATTGGATGGACACACACACACACACACACACACACACACACACACACACACACACTCGCTCATACACTCATATAAATAAGCACGCATTTTCCATGCATCTATACACACTTCCCTAGAGGCTTGCTAACAAGACTACAAGGTGAAGCATCTGTTCCCTGAGGCACTCCTTTCACCAGAGATCCTCCCATCTCATTCAGTCTCCTTTTATTTTGTATCACGCACACACACACACACACACACACACACACACACACACACACACACACACACACACACAATGAATCGTGCCTTCTCTCCTCTGCAGTTTTACTGGTGACTCAACCTTTGAGCTGATGCTGTACTTTCCACAAACAGCAACCTCCTTTGTAGCTTCTCTGACCTCGTGTACTTTCACATATCCTTTCAAACCATGCTGTTCTTGTATGAACTTTAAATATCACTCCTCCGTCCGAACCATTTCCTTTTGCTTTATCTGTGCATTCAGGTGAGAGACAAGACAGAAGTGAGGCCCCGACTTCAATGTACAACCTCTGAGATGTCCAGCAAACCTTGGGTCAGTACATGCCCAGAAATACACGGTTGTTTGTGTGTGCGTGTGTGAGTGAGAGAGAGTGAAAGTGAGAGAGAGTGAAATGTATAGGTAGACTTAAGAGGGATTTTTGAGAGCTGATTAACTTGTAGTGAGAGAGAACTTCGTCTGATAAACTGACACTGAATCTCAGTCCTGATTCCTGAGAGAGAGAGACAAAACACTGTATGTACTGTCTTTTTACTGCAAAGTGGTACCTTGCAACCACGCCCCCTTTTTTTTTTTTTTTTTTTTTTTTGTGAAAGCTCAAATTAATTTTTTGATTGGCTTTTACATATGCGATGCGGTGATGCCATTGTCCACTCATGAAAAGTTGTTGGCAAACCCCACACACAGCACGACAATGTGTGTGTGTGTGTGTGTGTGTGTGTGTGTGTGGGTTGTGTGTGTGTGTGTGTGTGTGTGTGTGTGTGTGTGTGTGTGTGTGTGTGTGTGTGTGTGTGTGTGTGTGTGTGATGGGCTTCATAAAATCATTTCCAAAATCATCTTTAACCTTTTTTCACAATAACAATAAAGAATACCATTGTGTTTGTTCATATTTTTTTCCTTCTGTAGATTCTCAGTCATCTAGGTCATGGTAATTGGCAAATGTTGACTCGAGGCAACTGGACTCTAATTTGTTTAATTTTGTTGGGTTTTTTTTGTTTTTGTTTTGGAAAATGTAAAAAAAAAATGATGATAACACAAAGACTTTGTTGCTTTTCCCCATCCATTTGATAAAGATGAGGGGGTGTTCATACAGTAGGCGTTGTGAGGTGAATTGATTCGTGATTTGATTTACAAAAGGATTTTCTTGTTCAGAAAAAAAAAAAAAAACGGCTCTGTCCTACTTAGAGAGACACCGCCACAGCCCAACCTGCTCTTTCCAGCTGGTGCTGCTCCCAATTACACCCACCTCCCTCTTTGTCCGCTTTCCCCTTCATCTCTCTTTGCTCCTCCTTTTTGAGCCGGTTTGTGAACCTCGTGCTGTCTGCGTCAGACGACTCCATTCATGAAAAGTGTGACGTGAGCGGGTTGGTAACGCTACCACCCGCCCACTCACAGCCTGTGTGCTGCCGGAGCAACCGGAATGCCTGTCATTCTTCAGCCTGTTTAGTTTGTTTTTTTTTTGTTTGTTGCTTTCTCTCCACCCTGACCAGTAAATTTTACATCCCCTTCATTTTTATCAACCCTGCCATCAGTGCTGAGGAAGAAGCGCATGAAGTTGAGCTCTGTCCGACGTGAGTAGTCATTACATTGGGTGTAGGCCATTCCGAAAGCAGGTGTTTGGCCATTCATCCTTCAACGTGCTTGTGTGTGCTAAGTGAGGGTTTGTGTCGTTGTGTTTATAAGTCAGTCAGCTGTTAGTGTGTGCTTGGTGGAGGCACTGCGGCAGCGTGTTGTGCAGTGGTGCGCCGCTGCATGCGTGCGGTAGCTATTTTAGGCTCTGTGGTGGTGATGCTGCTGCTGCTGCTGCTGCTGATTTGTGATGCAGTACGTCTCGGTGTCCTCTGAAGGACGGGTGAAGATGGTGGCAGACGGAAACACATCCTGCCTCTAGTTAGCAAACTACAAAGAAACACCCTTGAAGATTGAGACTGCTGTTTGTCCGATGCCTTAACTTGGTACACACGTGCCTGAAATCTGCTTGTGCTTGAACACATGCACATCCACTTTACTGGTGTTTCAACTTTCACCCCCCCCCGTGACTTAATCCATCCCTTTTATTTACACTGAATGGCAACATGAACAGTGGCGCTCATCCTAGTTCTCTGTTATGAAGCATGTTTATGTAACTGCACTGGATGAGTAGCCGGCAGCCGCTTTTTAGAGGGCGAAAAATCTCTACAAAATATTCACACCATGGCTGATCACTCCAGGCCAATCGGAAGCTTTTGTTTGATTTAGGGTTTGTCTACATGGGATGGGACCGCAGGGGTTAAAAATGAGACGGCCGTCAGCAGCACAGTAGCGTAGCGTCGACTCCCGGTCCTGAGATTCTGTGTCCAAATCTTTTCTCTGGCCTTCCAGAGTGAAGTTTTCTCTGTGCTTGCCTGGATATTTTCCAGGCTACTCTGGCTTCCCCCCACATTTCAAAAACATGAATCTCTGGTTTATTGAAAATCTCTTGAGGTGTTAATGGTTGTTTACCTATAAGTACCATTCAAGGTCTATTCCATTCACCAGCAACCCCAACGAGTACGAGCAGAATCGAAAATTAATGGATGCATTTTTGAGGTTGCATTAATAATCCAAATTGTATGCTTTTATTTGAATTTGACTAATCAAGTGCTACCTTAAATGTGTAGCACTACCCAATAAGAGGACAGAATCCAGGGGTATTATTTCCACGAAAAGGCATTTATTTGTAATGTGTTTTTTTTACTATATATATGTATATTACAGTTATTTGGATATGACTACATTGGGTTTCTTATTTTGTGGCATTTCTATCATTGGGTAATAAAATGTGATTTCTTTAGGAACATGTTAAGTATCGCAATATTCAACACCAATGTCGCATATTGTATGTTTTTCCAATATTGTACAGCACTATCTTCCACCGGGCATTATATCTTTTTTTTTCCCTTCTCAGCTTTGTTTTGTTGCATAATATTTTCTCAGTAGGACTGTTTGCTCGGGTCCTCGTTATCATTGGTGACAAGAGTGGTCAGAACTGTATTGCAGTGGGACCGCAAACAAATGTTATCATGGGGTCGGTGGCTGCGTGCCACTCATGAGACATGCAAAAGAACATGGAACTGGATACAGGATTTTTCACTGGGCAGCGATGATATGTGATCTGTGAATGAAGACTTTGGTATGCAATGAGACTTAACCGGACACTGTAGCAGGATAGCAAATGTCGACCTCAGTAGAGAAGAGTTCGAAAAAATGCTACAGTGGTGACATTTTTGCTCACCTGTGACATATTTGCTAATGTCTACCACGGTGTATGTTATGAAATAGTGACTCTACAATGATCAATTACCAACCAGTATTCACATTTTTGCACTTTCCTGCTCTTAAGTGCCATTGTCATGTAAGCGGTTGACCCAGACAACACAATTTCAGTCTTTTCTTTCTATTTTGGACTGCAGAATAAAATGTAATACTCGGTTGATTCCTGTTTTCTCAGCAATAGGAGTAGAATACACCCAGCGTATAATAGAAGCACTCGTGCTTATTGATTTTCTGTGGTTGCCTCAGTCTTCCGGGTGCGACTCCCACTGCTTCCCATTTCACTCCTAAGCCCTCAAAACCTGACATGTGTTTCTAAATTGCATATTCCCTTCAAATGGTGTCAGTCACAGCAGCATGTTTGCCTCTTGTGTTGTTGTTGTTTTTTTTTTCCTCCCCCCTGTCTTGTTTTCCTTTTTTCTCTTCGTGCTTGTTGTTAGCGGGCCAAGCAGGCCGTCCCTAGTAAAGGAGCACAAGGGGAATTGTTCTGGCAGCAGCTGCTCTGGTCGCAGTGTCGAATGTGTGCGCTGCTGTCCCCTGGCCGTGCAGGGCAGACAGTTCACATGGAGCTGGCTCCTCTTGTGTCCTTTGTTGTCGCTCCCGGTAGTCTTTGCCATCAGTGCGCGGTTTCTACTGTATGTTGCCGTGAGCAGCCATCACAGTTTCTGGTCGTCCTCTGACTACTGTTTATATTTTTTCCCAAATGCTCTCTTCTGCTTCCAACCCACAAGTTGGCTCCATATTCCACATCACCCCACCATTCTCCCCCTCCCCCGCATCCTTCTATGTCTGCCTCATCTGCTTTTTCCTCCTCTACTTTTCCTCGGAGACATTCTCTTCTCCATTGTTGTCTCTTTGCATTCATCCATTCATTCCCCATACCATTTATTATGTTCAGGGTCACAGAGAGGCGGCATGTGGTGTACAACCGAGATTGATCTCCTGTCAAGAACAAGGCCAGCACACTCACACTTGCATTTACATGTGTTCTCATTGCATTTTTGGAACGTTTCAAAACGATCCTCATTCAATAAGTCTTCATATCAGAAGGTAGGTCATCTGCGATCACCGTGGCAATGTCACCGTTTTGTCATCTTTTTCGACCAAAATGAGATGGCGTTAGTTCATGAATCCTGATCATGGGTTTTAACCGACAAGGGAAGCTGATCTGAGCGTTTAATTCTGTCCCTGCAGACAAGGGCACATTGACCACACATACTATATCTACTCAGCTTCATGTCATGTGGGCGTTCATTTTTATATACAAACAGCATTTTCACCACCTTTGTGCTGGCACAGTGAACCATGTGGCAGTGAACGGTTCTGGGTTCGTATTTCAGTTCAGATCATTCTGTGAGGAGGTTGCATTTTCTCCCTGTGCTTTTACACATTTTCTTTGGATACTCCAGATTCCTCCCAACATATGGTAGAAGAACTTTAGATTTTTTTTTTTTTTTAATTAAAAAAATCCATCGGTGCGAATGTGAGTGTGATTGAATGGTTTATTTTTTTCAATATCTGCTGTGATTGAGTCAGGACCAGGCTAGGTTGCACCTGGTCTTTCACCTAAAATCTTCTGGGAGAGACTCCATCTTAGCCATGACCCCTGAGCGGGATAAGCAGTATATAATGACGGAAATTGATCTTACATCTGAACTGATCAGGTCAAAATGTATGCAAACAGTCCTGAGTCAGTCTTTAGTCGCAAATCACTATGGTCAAATTATGAAACCACATGATAAATGCATTGTCTTCTAGTTCATTTTAAAATGTAACGATCTTGACTTTCGACTGTTCTGCCATTCCACTCTGACCAGTCCGGCGAAGAGTGAAAATGGCACGGGATGGATGCTGTGGCAACATGGCAACGCGTGAATGAAGAAGTGACTTAGGCTCTAAAGTGGTTCTTTGTTGGCCACCCAGCTGTCAGCAAAGGAAGGCTGCCCTTCTGGGACACAGCGGGATCTCCGCTTAATTAGGAGCAGGGTGGTGGAGACGCAGATGATGCCGCTGGTTTTGTCTATGAAAGTGTAAATGCAAAGTGTGTGTGGGCCCCTATATGATGTGGATCTTTTGCTACAAAAATGTATTTTGGGGATTCTTCGTGGTTTTTTTCTGTACAGTATCGTGAAAATGAAAGCAATCTGGCTGGGAATGTTTTTTTCCAATGATGTAAAAGTGTCTTCCCCAGCGACTATTATGAGTAGTCGGATTACTGGCTCCTGTCAGACACGCCCCTGGCTTTTGTGCTCCTCTGGCTAATCCCAACACACATCGTGACAACACAACGTTTGCTCTATTCAAAGTAAAATTATACATTAGTGTGAGAATAAAAGCATTGGATTGAACAGGCTCTGTCGTCTGCGATTTTACAAGCCCGTCCCTAGAGTACTGTCGGGATTTCAGGATCAGACAGTTTTCTCTCTTTTTCTCTTTCCGTCTTCCCAACATTTTCTCCCTTGCATTGTCACAGATTTTTGTCAACTCGCAAGGACAATCAGTTTGCCCTTTCGGAAAGTACATTCGAAGATCGTGTAAATGAAACCTCGAAAAACGGGGACAGACATTAGTTAATACTATTCTACGCCATTAGAGATTTTCCATTAGCGATTAATGGATGAGGTCCGTTTCCTGTTCTTCCCGGTGTCAGATGTTGGTACTGATTCCAGATTGTTCGCACTGGTCAAATGAATGCAATAGAGTGAAACTCACACAAAGCTTTCATAACCATTATTTAAGACACCGGCTTTAAAGTGGGTCATACACATGTGATACGCCTTCAGTCTTGGCGTGCGTTTCTCTCCAGCTGACCACAGCCAGCGATGCTGTTCCGCATCAGCATGGCCCATCTCTAAAAATTATTGGTAGGGTGGAATTACACCTCGGTCCTCGACTCACATGGCTCGATTGTCTCGGCATTGGAATGGACGGATTTATCGGATACCTGAGAGAGCATTCTCTCGTTCCCCCTGCACTCTCAGCAACCTGCTTAGAGTCAAGCCTGCATTATAGATGAGCTCTTGGCAGGTGCTACACTCTCACAGCACTCGGGTTACCCTCCAGGAGATAATTGCACACAGATACAGTACCCTCGTTTGCATAAACAACTAAACAACATCTCAACAGATCAGAACATAATGAGCTTCTTTTTTGATATCGAAATATCAAACAGCAAAATAAATACTGTTCTTGCTTCAGTCAGCTCAGTTGGTGTGCTTCATGCATGAGTTTCTTCTGAAATTCACCTAAATCGAGGACCACATTGTGATTGTACATGTACAGTACATGAACCTTCCATGTAGCCAAGTCACCGCTCCCACTAGAACTTGATTCCTATCTATCTATCTATCTATCTTATCTATCTTATCTATCTTATCTATCTATCTATCTATCTATCTATCTATCTATCTATCTATCTATCTATCTATCTATCCATCTATCCATCCATACATCCATCCATCCATCCTTTTTTCATATATATATTCCAGATGTCAAAAAGTGTTTGCAGCTCCCAGTGGAAACTGGGTCAAAAATGGCCGTTTCAGTTTAAAAGGTTGCCGACCCCTGGTGTAGACTTTGTGTCCTCTCCGTTTGCTTCCCTCCTCCTTGCAGGTAGAGATGGAGAGATATATGGAGTCTTTTCCTAAGATTGATTGAGTGTACCAAAGCTTGAACGGTGGATGCTGCGGCTAACAATGTGCGGCTGTGCCTGCTCAGACGTTGGTCCGTGTGTGCCAGATGTTTGGCTCGGTTTGGCTCTGAGCTCCCCTAATACAGAGCAACAGTTTTAATCCCGGCTCAACTGATATAAAGCTCCACCAGCAGCGTCGCAAAGCCCCAACTGTCTGTATGTGCCATCGATTTAGTCTGTTTGACGGAATTTTCCCAGAAATTACGCTATTTCCATTCAGTGTGATTTTCTTCTTGTTTTTTTAATTCGTAGTGTGTGTGTGTGTGTGTGTGTGTGTGTGTGTGTGTGTGTGTGTTTCACTTCCACCCTCTCTTACCCTCCTCCATACCTTTAGTTTCCTTCACCCCTGCTCTCCCTCTAGACTCCCTTTACTTACTTCACACCCCACCACACACACACACACACACACATATTTTTTTTTTTTTTCATGTCGTATGCACATGTGTGATGTTTGTTTGTGATTTGACCACTTCCGGAATGCTTGCACTCTGTAGTTAAAAATAAAAGTCATTAATGTAAGCTCATCCCATCGCAGATCTATGAAAGGATTTGTCTTTGCGGAAGTAGTGAGAGCTTAGTGCGATAGTCCTCATCTTGTTTTGGTTTTTGTGAAAGCCCCCAAAAGTAGCTTCATCATTAACATGTGTCTGTGTTGTTTGTATTTTTTCTCAGGTGATTGAAATACTGACGAACCAATGTGTTAGGACCGCTCGTCACCAAGTGTAC